TCTTGGGAAGCTCAGCTCCTGCCCCCCGTTATTAACTCACTCCCACCTCAGGGGGTCACAGCCACTGAAGTGTCTGTGTGGTCAGCTGGGCTGCAGGACCTCAACGCACTCGCTTCCTCCTCCAAGTCTCAGCCTGACCTGTACTGTCCCCTCCCTGTGCCTGCTGCCAGAGCTGGCACTGCCCCCGCAGGCGATGCTCCAGCTGCGGCTTAGGCCTCTTTTGCACAAGTCCCAGTTTCAAAATGAGAGGGGAACAAGGAAGATGGTGCTGAGCAGGGGAAGAGCCTCGGCCAGGGAAGGGGGATTTGCAGTGGGACCCCAGCAGGGCACAGGGATACCCAGCCCCAGTGCCAAGGGAGGTGACATGCAGGGGAGGAGAAGGGCTCTGGACCGCACTCCCCAGGGCTCTGGCTGCAGCAGAGGCTCTACCCCCCCAGCTACATTCCAACTTGGACAAAGGCAGAAAGATCTATACCATATAATATATATATTTCACTATGAAATAGCAATTTCATTCCCTGCCTTCTACTTGCTGCATCCTGAATTAGATGCTGCTTTTTAAGTCATGCCAAGGGCTGGGGGGGCCGGGCTGTTCCCCATACAAGACAGTTACCTTCCCTGCAAGTTACCTGCAGGAAGCACCAGCAGCCGACTCGGCAGGACACAGACATGATCTTTGCTCCCCCTTTCCCCTCACCCAGCTCCCACCTTCCCTTCCAACAAGGGCACAACGGTCTGTCCTGCCAGCCCGGCCTGCCAGGGTGCTCACAGCTCATGTACATGGTTGGTCAGTGCAGATTCATTAACCTCATTCATGCTGCTTTCAGCAGCCGTGGGCTGGAAGCAGCAACCCAACCCTTCTACATCACGTGTAGGAAGAGGAACAAACCAGAGGGACATGGTGGGGACAGTGCAACATGCACACAGAGCGGTGACGCGAAGGGCCCTCGCACAGCCCGATGCCCCGCACGACAGCCAGGCCAGCCCGGGCAGCGCTCGCGGGCTCCAGGCCACGGGGGGAAGTCAGGGCTGCAGCCCATCGAGTGTGAAGTCTGTCAAACCTCGGCCAACCTGTGGAACAAGGAGTCCTGTGTCCAGGGGCCGGGTCACTGACCAAGAGCCATCGTCACTGGAATCAGTGCAGGGCCGGATGGTTCAGGAGACGAAAGGAAGAACAATCCTGTGGAAAGACAAGGAAGGCAGCTGTCAGGGGAAGCAGCTATTATGGGTCTCTCCAAACCACTGTCCTGAAGACCTTGTTGTCAGAGATCTGCAATGCAACTGGCAGCAAATGGGCGACCAGTTACATGCTGGGACAAGAGCAAGGACTCAGTCACTCTGGCTCTTGCAAGCTGGTCTAACAGAGCTGGGAAGACGAGAGAGACAGCAGGGACAGGTTCAATCTGCTGTCAGGCTCTGGGCTCAAGTCAACAAGATAAGAGTTCAAATTCCCTTCAAATGAAACCAACAGGAGTTTGGCCACCAGCAGAGCACCACACTGGCCCAGACACACAGAGCAGCCAGCAGCAGAGCTGCAGCTTGGGCAGCCCTCGCTCGAGCACGCTCAGCTGCCCCAGGACCGCGTCGCTGCCGGCCCCGGGCAGAGAAGGCAGCTGCCCCTCAGGTCCTCACCTTTGCTTTCTGTACATCTTCCATCCCTCACATCGTCCGGCTGTACTCAATGCCGCTCTTGGCTGAAATGCCAGACCAGGGCAGGAGGCTGCAGAGGAGGCTCTGGGCCTGTCGGTAGATCCTCTGGGGGATTGAACACGGGCTCAGGCTGGCTAGAGTCGATCCAATGTGCTGTAGATAGTCAGTGGCTGTCAGTTAAGGACAGTGACATTGACACTGGAACTTCAGAAATAAAATACTCTGTGGACTAGCAGTCCCTGAAGAGACCCCACGACAGTGAAAGCTGCTCAGACAGACAGACAGACAGATCTGCTCCTTGTGTTAACTGCCTGCTCCTTTCTATCAAAAGCAGGTCTGCTTTGCACCGTAAAAGAGGCAATTTGGGGACACTGGCTCCAGCCTGTGTGGGAAATCACAGAATGTCGGGGATTGGAAGGGACCTCGAAAGATCATCCAGTCCTCTAAGCAGCAGGTAGCTCCCTTTGCACTCCACAGCAGGTTCCTGTGGGGATGACAATCTATCCACCTGCCTGGAGAGGTCTGGACTGCCTAGATACACGCAGGAAAGATCAGGTTGCTTCTCCATGATCCAACAACCTGAAATAAACTCCTAAAAGTCAGTTTGAGAGCAGCCTGCTGAGATCCAGGCCAGAGCAGGGTCACAGGGGATCCGAGGCCACAGGAAGCAAGACCAAGGGCTTCTCTGGACAACCCTGTGGTGCTGGACAACTCCTGCACTACACAAGCCAGAGCACACCTCTCACTCTGGCTTAACACCAGCCTTTGCTATCACTGGCATCAAACCGGCTTCAGCTTAGAATTCAAGGTGCCACCCTGCACTGTCTTCCTGAACTGTTCCCAGAGGGGTTGGGAGAGTCTGGGCACAAAGGGGTCGCTGTCAAATCCCTCTAACATCACGTTCCTTCTGGTTTCTGATTAACCTCACATCTGAGCAGGGATCAGTCCCCACATCTAGCCAGGTCACGCTTGGTTAAATTGCCATTTTTCACCCAAAGCATTGTGTGGTGTCTGCTCACTGTGTTCCACTCCTAATTGACTGAAGGTAAAGGATATAAGATTGTCCAGGGTGGATGTCCACCGTTGATGTACAGGACGTAGGTAAAGCCATCTTTGAGGACCCCTCTGATGGAATAATAATAGGGAAGATAGTGGTGCTGTTTAAAGTCTCTGTTTTCATAGAAGTTTATTGCTGTGTTGTTAGTGGTGAGGACGTGCAGGTAGATGGCTTTGCAGTGATCCTGGGCAGTCGTTGATATATGGTCTTTTAAACTTTCAAGCAAGAGGGAACCTGTTGAAGGAAAGAGCAGCAGAATGAGACAGTGCAGCTGCCTTCTCAGGGTCAGCACCAGGGCTCGTAGGTCCCAGCTGAGATCTCCCACACCCAGGGTGTGAGCAGCGATTGCTGCACATGCTTGGAGACCCCCAGATCCCACCCAGTTCTCACAGACCCCAGTGAGGAGTTTAACAGGACCACGCTACGTGGTTTTCATATGAATCTCATCTCACCTATGAGCAGGGTTTCACAAAAACAGGTTTTATAAAGACACAAACTTCTGATTCAATAACCACAAAGATGAGCCAGACGTGGGGAAGCTGCCAGTAATGCCCATCCCCAGCCACGCAGCTCACAGCGTTGGGGAAGGTCAGTGAGTCATTTTCAGTGGTATCAGTTCCATCATATTTATTTATTTTAAAGCCATTTCTACCAGCAGAATGGCAAAACAGGACTTCACAAGCAGCTTATGGCATTGTGGCTCCTGAACTCAAGTGAAAATCTAAGAACTGGCAGGATTTTAAGATGCCTTCTAAGGCAGAGAGCTGACACATAGTTTCATGCAACCTGGATTTACTGCAGCCACTAGTCAGCAGAAGAAACCAGAGAAGGGCACAGAGGATACTCCAGCCCCAAGAGATGAGACCTGGAGGTTCATCCAAACCACCTCAACACAGCATGAAGGACCCAGCAGAACCTGCAAGGGAACTTCTTCCATCAGGTGTGGTAACAACAGGCTGAGGAAATAGCTTAGCTAATACAAACACCCAGATGAGATTTGTGCTGCTGTTTCACAATTCCCCCAGGATTTCAAAGCAGAAGTCAACAGCACTGACTTCATGGTCACTTGATCCTTAGTGGGAATTTCTGTCAGCCAAGTGCAAAAAGACACTGAGAGACATCAACAGGAGAGCAATTTAATTTTGCTATGAGATATTCCACTCTTCTCACAGAAATCCAACTGCCCTCTGGTTTCAGAATAGCAGAGAACTAGAAACCAAAGCCAGAGAAAACTCAGAGCTTTAGTGCTTAAAGGTATGCCTGGGGTGAAAAGCCTCCTGCATGAGAGCTTCAGCTTCAAACACAAGTAGAAAAACTCTCAAGAAAAAAGGTCTCGGAGAAAGCAGCAGCAGCAGCAGCAGCCTCTTTAGTTTGTTTTGCTACAGGTGCAAGCCCAAAGATTTTGAGAGAGCACAGCAACACGCTGTCTCGAGGTGATGGGTACAGGAAATACTGACACTGAAAGAAGAACATTCCAGCAAGATGGAGCTACAAAAAAAAATAGGATTTGGAAACTGAAAAGGGACTCAAACCAGCCAGAACTTTACCGAACAGACAACCCCCTCACAACCTTCTCTGAACGTTATTCTGTGCCAGTCTTTTATTCTTTGTACAGAAAATTTATCTCCAGTAGCATTTCAATGCAAGTTTTAAATCCAGTGCTCCTACTGAGGACACTTCTGGCCATTTCTTTATGTATCCTATCAGCTTCCACCCTTCTAAACACGACTGGGGGAGAAGGGAGGACTCAAGGAAGAGAAGTTACACCTGTATCCACTGAAGAGACTCCAGATGTGCAACACTGGGTCATGCTGCCAAACCTGCCCGATTTCCTTTTGCAGATCATGCTTGAAATGGCACCAGAAGGGCTCTTATTTGATGACAAAACACACTGTGCTCTAAACAGAGATAAGCCCTTCTGACTGCAGGATTTTCAAATGGCTGCAGAAGTGCTGTGTGTTGCAGCAGGCATCCAGAGCTGACTTCACATGCACTTGGCAGATTTCATCAGGTCCAAGTTACACTCTTTTTCCAGGTCCCTTTGTCTGTTTCTAAATGTTTGTTCTATCTGTTGAAGCCGAAAGGTTAAGAGCAGCTAAATTTGCTGCCTCAGGGACCAGGCTTCTGATACCCATGAAAGACAATCACTTCAAACCCTGCTCCAGGGTGAAGTCCCAGCGCTTCACTCAGTCTCAGCAGCAGGAGCACAAGTTTGTGGTGTGCTCAGCCGTCCCCCAGGAACAAGACAGACAAAGCTCCATGCTCTTGGGAAACATCTGCACGTTGTGTTGTGCCTACACTGCTAAAAACATCTCAGTGCACCTGTGTTAACACCAAGAAGGGGATGTGAGTGCATCACCTTCCCAACTGCTGGTACAAACCACCGACAAGCTTGTCCCAAAGGGTGTTGCAGGGAAATGGTGCAGCTCCTTCAGTCAGGCCCAGCAACCACACGCAGCAAACGACAGCAGCAGGGTTGTCACTTAGCAGCATCTTACCTATTCCGTGTTTTCTGAACTCCTTCACCACTCCAAGGCTTAGGATGTAAGCAACTTGAGTGTCCACAGGAAAATTGGAAGCTAGGATGTCTCCATCCTGAGTAGAGATATGACAAGTTATTTAGTAGGATAGCTGGGGAGGCAGAGGAGAAGGCAAGAATCCTGTACTGGAACATCTGAAAACAAGGCTGCAGCAGGAAACTTCACTGAACAGTCTTAGCTGAAGCTTCTGGAAAGGAGGTGGGGGAGTTAAAAAAATCAAGCATGGTCCTTAGGGGTTAGTCCTACTTTCATATCATCTGCTCAGACCCAGAACACAAATCATTACATTTCCTTACCACATACATTATTTGTGGGCTGGGGGACAGAACAGATTTGCATTCTTTACCAGGAAGGATTCAAAGTGCCAATTCTGGAGTGACACATCAGTGTCTAGATCAACCCAGCATCAGTTTTTATAGCCTGCACACTCCATCTGAGGTTGGTGTCAGCTGGAGATCTCTGTACTGCTGTAGAGGACAAGGAGCATGTTCTCCAGGCTCAGTCGTCTGCATCAGTGTCTGAACAAGCCCCTGGCTCTCAGCTTGCCTGGAACAATAGCCTTTTGTTGGAGCTGCTGAAGATGCAGTTTCTGACTTTGACTATCTCTGAGGTGAAGCCAGATAGCTGGAGTGAAGAGGCCCATGCCACTCAATGCTCTCAGTGCCTACAAACGTTCAGGTTATTGTTCAATCATAACACTGATGGTCTGTTAGAAGTTATGCACTCTCTGCATTGCCCCTGCTTTTTTTTTTAATCCCCTTGCCTATGCTGTGTTCCCTACCCTAACCCAGTGGTCTTCTGTCTTCAGTGACCACCTCCTCTTCACCTCTCTTCTGGACTGTGTTGTCTCTCCTGACCTCCAAGCTCTGTTATCCCTGAAGCCTGAGCTTTCTGCAGACTGGCTCTGCGTTGTGTTCGAGACAGTGACTGTGTAAATGAAGGAGTTTCTGCAGGAAGTCAGAGGAGTGACTCACCCAGCACAGCTAAGGAAGTTCAGTCCTTACATAAGAAAGGAAGAGGTTTGTTCTCCCTCAGCTGTGCCTACCTCAGTCACCAGTGGTGACCAGGCACACTGCAAACAGCCAGGCAGCCTGTCACACAGTCACGTTTGGATTACACTTGTGTGATCTGATCTCTCTGCACAGCACACCAGGCAGCTCTGCTCAAGCAGCACCAAGCTGCCTGTTGAGCCACAGCTGCCCAGCCCCAGCAGGAAGAGACTTTCTGGTACAAGGCTGCTCAGCAGCCCACACGTCCAGACACATCCCACCACCCATGTGCCATCAGCTGGAAATCAGCATGTTCTTGGTTTCTTAAATTAACTCAGGATTGCTCTTGTAAGTGTCTGGATGGGGGAAAAACATACCCCAAGCATGTTCCATGGCAGTTAACCACGGCCAGGGGTGGACTACCCGATACCAAGCACAGTTTAGTAGCGTACCTCTTTATGCACCTTTGTCCTGCTCTTGATCTCTGCCACTATCATACCCACGATGGAGCCTCTATAGGTGGCTGCGAGGGAAAAGAACTTCTTGTTGGAAGTGATATCTCGGTACCATGAGTCAGGGTACCTGGGAAGGAAGAAAAAACAGGAATGTTTGGGGACACAGAGCCCAAGGGAGCAGGCAGAGCTACAGCCAACATTGTGCTGAGATGCTGCTCAACTGGAAATGGGCAGCAACACCTTTAAATGCCAGTCACTGGAACAGCAGGCCGATGTGTTTTACACAAGAATAAGGGAGAGAAATTGTACAACCAACAGGGCTGTCTTCTGCAAAAACATACAGCCAAGTACCTCAGCCACGTGTCCATCTAAAGCTCTTTCCATGCTACTAATTTAGCCTATTCTATGAAATCTGGGTTAGGAAGTTATTCACCTTTCCTGTCTTAACTGTTGCATGGTACCAACGAACATCAAACAGCTCCTGTGCCCCGTTTGGTTTCTTTCCATTGCACCCCAGCAGCAATGCAGGCTGCTCACACAACAGCCTCCTGCCTTGTTAAGACAAGCACATTTTCATTTCACATTCATTGCCCAGAGCGTTCACTTCCATCTTTAGCAAGTTATTTTTAAACACAAGATCCATCTGCCCTCATCTAAGAGCGTAAGGATCTCATTAATTTGCTACACATGTGAAAAAAATATTGCATATTGGTATATATAAAAAAAAATCACATCACCAGCCTCCAGCTCTCCTCCTCCTTCTGCAGCTGCTACAGGGAAACAAGCAGATGCTGATTTATTTCAAAGTCAGAGTTCAGCATGCCTTGCACTTAAAAGAAATCTACAAATTCAAAATATTATGAATGCTTTTGTTGGTTTGTTACATTTGATGCAATTTTAATTATAATCTGCTACAATCCTCTGTTAAATCTTCTCAACAAAGCTAAAGGAAAAAAAAATAAATCCTTGACGCCTACAGCTGTAGTTTCCCTGGATGCCTTAAGCCAGAAAGCTATCCCTGTTCTCCAGAAAAGCCCCTTATTCCTGTGCTCCTACAGACACAAGGATTTACCCAGTGGGAGCCTGGGGAACTGACCCAGGACAGACTTAGATCAGCTTTAAGCCAGATCTTTGGGATCAGCAGTGATCCTGAGCACACAGGCAAGTGCTGTTCAGTCGGAGATGGGACACGCAGAGGGACAGTCCCCTGGGAACAGTGGCTCCGTGTCGGTTTGGTTCAGCTCTGAGGGTGCTTTCTTGGCACACGCTCCAGAACACAACTTCCTTTCACCAGCACAGGGCCACTGTCCTTTCTCCTTTCCCCATCCCATGCACAGTCTTTCCCAAGAAGCTGATCCACCCCCTTAATTACAAAGCCCATTTTTCTGCCCAAATCTGCATACAGGAGCTTTCTGATGACTTCAGGACCCTGCAGGACAGGCAGCAAAGGGCCATTGACAGGAACACCAGGACAGTGCAGAAGAGATTCAGAAGGTGCTGCTATTCAGAAGGTGCTGGAAAAGAGAAGGCTCCGGGGTGATCTTATAGTGGCCTCCCAGTACCTGAAGGGGGCCTAAAAGGAAGCTGGGGGAGGGACTTTTCCTAAGGACAACTAATGACAAAACAAGGGGAAATGGGTTTAAGCTGAAAGAGGGGAGGTTTAGATGAGATATTAGGAAGAAATTCTTCACTGTGAGGGTGGTGAGACACTGGAACAGGTTGCCCAAGGAAGTTGTGGATGCCCCCTCCCTGGAAGTGTTGAAGGCCAGGCTGGATGAGGCTTTGAGCAACCTGGTCTAGTGGAAGGTGTCCCTGCTGCTGGTAGGGGGGTTGGGACTGGATGAGCTTTAAGGTCCCTTCCAACCCAAACCATCCTATGATTCTATGACTCTACCTTAGCAGCAGTCCAGATGGCTGCAGAGCCTTTGCTCTCAGCTCTGAACTGGACCAGTGCATGTTCACAGCATTGGTTTCTAGATCCCCACCACCTCACACCCCAAACCAGTAACGTACTCAATTGGGAACCAGTCGCCACAGAGCTGTTTCACTGTGTCTATGTCATCGTGGCAGAGAAGACGCAGGTTTACGTCCGTAAGTGCAGTCGGAGGCACCTCCTCTGTCATTCACGCCTGCAAGGGAAGAAGAAGACACGTTAGGAATGATGAAGCACAGGTTCTGACTCAGCTTCCATCAGGCACCTGTGCAAAGCCAGCAGCAGGGTCTCGGTATCAAGTTGTTCTTCCCAGCAGAACGAGTTTTCAAGAGAGATGAAGCAAAACTCAGCAACATGATCCTGAGAACAACTCAAAGCCCTGCTGCCCACAGGGTAAGCACAGCTGACTTCTCAGCCTGACCCACCCCACCAGCCCCCCATCTCTGCACAGCCCAGTGATGCTGCGTGAGAAGGAACACGTGGCACCAACACGTCCAAAAAGAGCTCAGGATCCTGCGTTTGCTAACCAGCCACGTGCCACATGCACCTTAGGATGTGTGGAGTTCTTCAAACGTCTACACAGGACCAACACCTTGTTAAAACAAAACTGAACCAGCAGCATAAAAAGGAAGAGGCGCTAGAAGAACATTTATAAAGTCCTCTTACACAGTCTTGTCATCTCCAGTTAGTATGTATGCTTTAAAACATTAATTTTGTGTCATTTACACTGGTGAAATGAGATCTACTTTCATTTCCCCTCATTCCTACGTGTCACAGCTCCATCAGGGCTGGCTTTCCAGCCCAGCAGAGAGTGTTCAAACACAGAAATCCCAAGTTTTCTTTCCCCACACCACTACCACAGCCCTGCCCACCACACACAGGACACTCACTCCAATGTCTACAGCCTTTTTTTGTTTAACAAGGTAGCAGAGGGAAAGCAGTAAGCAATAATTAAAGTGGTTGTAAAAGCGTTTGTAGTGCAGACACACGAATGAAGAGCAGATCTGGAGAACAGGCTTTAGGCAGGACAAAGCCCCACGTGAGATGCTGCTCACACAGAGGGAACAAGGCAGGAAGAGACAGGGCAGTGGTGGGAGTGGGGTCCCTTTCACGGGCCACCTGCAGTTTTCTATCCCCAGCTTTGTCTCTCTCACTCCAGCCCTCCTGATCCCAGGTCAAAGAACCAGACCAGGATGCAAAGAAAAAAAAAAAACCAACCCACCCTTCATTTAAAAAGTTATTTGGTTTTGGTTTTTACTTTCTTTTCCCAATTTTAAGAGGCTCGAATCTTGGTTTTGAAGCACTGAGTTAACAGGAAAAGCTGTACTCAGCTTTGTGCTTGTGTACTCCCTGCTGCTGAAGGGGATGCTCAGCTCTCCCGCCCTCCTGCTTTGAAGCTCAGAGACTCGAGAAGGACCAGATTTAAACACATCTCCACTGGACTGGAGAGGCCATCTGAGCAGTTTCCACACAAAAATCGCATCACCACCTCCAGAACACACTGTCGGTGGCAAAGAAGCACAAAAGGAGCAGACACACCAACAATCCCAGCCTGACGTGTTTTGACAGCACACAACTGCGTGCGATCGCTCTCCTGAAAATTTGGAAACACCCTCTTCCACTGTGCCCCTAAGAAAAAAACAAGTTAAGTCATAAAATCCACATTCCACCCCAAATTTCTCTTTTAAGGGACATAAGCTAGCTTTCTTCTGCAATTCCCCTGGGTGAACTGGTAGAGAGCAACTCCCACATGATGATAATCGGAGAGCAGAGAGTCCCCAGATGCCGGGGTCCTTGGAACTCAGCAGTGCTGGAAGAGGGGTAATTAGCACTGCTGATGAGAACAGCATCACCCTTGACTTTGGCACCTCCCTGCCACACACATGGCTCAGCTCCTTTGCACCAGCTGGAGCAGTGTGAGCTCCTCCCCAACCCCCCCCTGCGCTGCATCGGTCCCCATCTCCCAGGGAGGGAGGAGGAATTGCACCGCTGGTTTGTGTGCAACCTGGAGCACGTCAGACAGCCAAGACATCAGCAGGAGGAAGGACAACATTTAGGACAGGACCTCTGCTATCCAGAGAAATCTTTGCCAGCCCTTCTGGCCTGCAGGCAGAAAGGATGGCAAAATGCTTTCAAAGAGCAGAGGACCAAGGACGCTCGCCTACAGCTCCTGAGAAAGATGAAATGGGGTGGGGTTCTTCGAGGGGGGGATCCTCCCCAGACACAGCTTTCCTCCCTCTGACTGGTCCTACACGTTTCTCTGAGAAGGGCATATCCCAGGGGATCCACATATTGATATGGATCACTTGTTCTTCTCCAAAGAGGTCCTTAAAAAGAATCACAGCTATTTCACAGCCTGTTCTAAGACTGTGGCTGCATATTTACCGAGCAGCCTACACCTTTCACAACCAGTCCAGATGCTAGTTTCAAAACAACTTAAACACCTGGAAAACCCACAAAACCAGAACTCCCTGCTGCTTTTAAAACTAATTTCACACTCCTAGAACTGGCTCAAGCCCTCTGAGGCCAGACTCTGACTCTGCACCCTGTTGCAGCAGCGAGCACACTCTCCACCACCAGCCCCTGGTGACCTTTTAACTCACCTCAGCTTCACCACACAGGGCCCTGAGGGAAGGAGATGTTCACCTGCTGTGGCTGATCTGATCCACACCGCTGCTGGCTGAGGGGCTGATGCACATCAGAGTGGACCTCAGTCCCATCCACACACACCTCCCACCCTCGCTGGACCCTTTGCTGAGCCGTTTCAGAGCAGTGACCCACCACAAGACCACGAAGTGAAGGAAAAACGATTGTCTGTAGGTCAGAACTGCTTGGCAAAAGCTTGGGGAGCACAAAACAGGCTTCCTGGGGGAGGAAAAGATGAGGGAGGAGTGAGCAGGCACTCACTAGAGCCACTCTGGCCACGGTGAAGCTCCGAGCCACGAGACATCACTTTGTTAGTGGGTGTTAAGTGGCACTCAGGCTTGCAGTGCTCTTACTTACACATTTTATGACTCTTGAGAAGTCTCGATGCTCCTGTAAGGCAACGTCCCTTCTCGCAGCGTTAATAAATCAGAGATAAATGAAACAACCACGACAGAGCCTTATTTTTGCTAATGAGTAGAAAAGGCAGAGGCCTAGGAGCTGCCTTAGCCAGCAGCTGCTGCAGGAGAGGCAGAGCCAGCACAGGAGGCATTCTTGTGAGGATTAGCCCATGTTTATTTAACACTATATTCTCAAAGAGCTAGGCAAGCACTCTGCATTATCCCGTAGCTGAAGCCAGCCTCAGAAAAGTAATCCAGGGCTGTTTTGCTGAGCAGGATCATTCTCCTCCCCTCCAATTCAGACAGCCATTTCCCAGCACCGCTTGTTTTTGCAGCCGCTCTGCACTACGTGACCCGAGCTGATGCTCTTGCATCAGGAAATTCAGGACACTCAACTTGGCACCGTGTCCTGGCAGAGCGTTCCAGGAGAGCAGACCTGGTCACCTTCCTCCCTCGGGCAGGTGTTGCTGCTGCCAGAAGAACTGTGGTCAGTGGCTGCTATGACCAACAGAGACAAAATCCCAGGGGAGTTCATTCTCTCCATACCCAGGTGACAGCTTCTGGCTTCGCAGATATCCGGGCAGACACCCAAGGCCCAAGCCCTGAGCCTGTGCACAGCCTGTGGCACGTTGTAATGAGCAGAGCCACAGTCCTGAACAAAAGCCTCAGCTAGCACAGGGATGTGATATTGTTTTTGGAGTCAGCTTGGGTTTAGAGGACAAAAGATATGTTTGGAAGCATAAAAAAAATAATTACAGCCAGTGTCAGTGTAAAATACAACCCTAGGACTCACTGGAAGTTAAAAGGGCCTTGTCCTGGTTTTTAGTGGAGACAGAGCTGGGTTTCTTTTTAGTAGCTAGAATAACCCTGTATTTTGGTTTCAGCTGGGACTGGTTATGAGAGAAACATTGATAAATCAGAGGCAGCACAGTTCCACTCACCGCTGCACCACTGACAGCACCAAGTTCTGACCTTTGAGACCAAGGGGTGGCTGCTGTCAAGCGAAGCGAAGCGCTCGCTCCAGCCACGCGCAGTTGGCTGAAGGAGGTCCACAGCCACTTCTGAAAACCCAAAGGGAAGTTACTTTATTGAACAGCTTTTTCTCTGGTGTCAGTCTTTGTTCATGGGATAGCCATGGTCTGGGAAGTGGCGTGGTTAACATCATCCATGGCATCTCCACCCAGGAGGGCACAGCGACCTCAACTCTTCTGTTGGAACGGGGAACACTGGCCTGTGATGATGATAAAATGAGCCAACATTTTATATTTACAAAGGGAATGTGCAGCTAAACATCTGAAAAAGCTCTGAGGACACTCCTTTCCAAAACACCAACGTTAGCTGTGAGTAGAAACAGAAACTGAGCATTTTATTCCCTTTCCTACCTAAAAACTTTAGATATTAACACATAAAAAGCTAATTCCAAAAAATTATCGTGGTTTTGAGCATTAGTTTTCTGCCTTGTTCTATTGAAACAAATCCAGCAAAAACATTTTGGCAAATACTCAATCCAAATATTGAGCAGTAATGGAAGGAGGATGAAAGAAAGAGTAAGTACGTTACTAAATAATCCCACTTAGCATGTCATTTAAAATTAAAACACATTGTAAGGTGGAAATTTTCTTTCCCTCTTAGATTCCTTGTATAAAAAAGAAAAGAAAAAAGTGAGGGAAATCTACATGATACCATATTTCTAGAGAAACTGAGGAAGTCCCACAGAATCAGCACTCTTAACCCAACAGGGTGTTCAAATGCAAGATAAAGCCTAATGCTTATTAGAATTTGGCAGGAAGCTGCTGAAATGAAAATGAAAATCCCTTGAGCACCTACAAAAGTCTGGCTAAATGATTCAACAAGTTAAGATTTCCCTTGTCTAGCACTATTAGAGATATTTTAACAACACTTCTGCCTTGTGCATCCTGCAAAAACGAGTTGGATTTAAGCAATGAACAATCATAAGATGCCATTTTAATGAATTTTTATTTGGACTCCAACTTCCATCCAGATAAGCTCATGAAAATCTCAAATAAAAATCTAGCAACAAACAGCACTGAATTTCCTGGCAGAATAAAAGCAAAGTAATCTAAGACTAAAGCTAAATGAATAATAATTACGATTGTATACAAGTATAACTTCCAGTTAGGGGTGTTCTGGCTTC